ATTACCAAAATATCGACATAATGCTGGCCAATTCTGAACCCTACGTAGGTTTATGTAAGATTTATTTTCCTGATGTACGTACCTGTTTGAAAACATTATTTCTATTCAAATATATAAAAATCGAAAAGTACCAAGTACAGAAGTGCCCATTTAGAAAATGGTATATCACCATTTATTTACATCACCTCAAATTTTGTATAGACAAAACAAATGAATGAAAATAAATAAATTTCTCAATCTATTTAGAATAGATCCTAATATTAAATAACAATTCAACCAACAAAAAGAATAGGTATGCATAATGTAATGACTTAAATTTAGACGTAACCGGTATTACAGAAACAAATATATAGAAAGCCAGTAAAATATGTATGAACAATATTATTTCATATCAATCTTGGTAGGATTCTGATAAAAGAAGATTATTATGTTTAAAAAATATCAGAAATGATGTTCAATGAAGTCAAAATAAGGGATGTTTTTATGTAAAGTAGGACTACCGTATTATTTATCCATTTTGGTTCACCTGATATCCCATTCATCATTATTATCATTACTTGGATGTGTATACACAGTGGATCTCGATTTAGCGGATAGTTTGGGCAAGTAGGAAAAATTTTCCAAAAATCCGTCAAACAAAGATATCCGCTATATCGAGAAGGTTTTTATTAAGGTTTATTATGGAACCGTTCCTTGAACTTTATCCGTAAAACCGAGATTTTTAATTAGTATCCACTAAATCGAGATTCACTGTATAGTAACTTGAAGTAGTTGTAGAATTCTCGGGTCCAAACTAGTTTGAGCAAATCCAAAATTAGTGTTCCTTTTTACGAATATTCAAAAATCAATTGATTTTGAATATTAATATATACAATTTATTTCGTAATTATTTTGGATGCTCATAATTACTCTTGATACTCGTAATTATTCTAATTATAATCAATTCAAACACTTGTTACATAACTTACCCTACTGTATAATAAACATTTTTCAAAGATAATAAAGATAACTTATGCAACAATTAAAATATTTGTTCAGTAAACATTTTCATTTAAAAAGTAATTCTTTCAAAACTCAAATGGAATTTGCAGAAAAATTTTTCCAATACTTCAGGAACTACAAATCGTATAGATCATTTTTAAAATGTTATAACATTCTTATAAGATTGATTTGTATGATGATATAATTTATTAAATAATTTTTCGATATAGCTTGAAATGAACAATCAAATTGATATAAGAGATATGATGTCCAAAAAGAAACTACATCAATTAAAGAACAAGAAAAAATTAATAATAATTTGTTAGAATTATACAAATATCTGAAGTAATGAACATCCAAAATAATTACGAGGATTTGAATAAATATTCGGAATTCGTAATTTTGGATTTACGAATATTCGAATAGGAGATTAGAATTACAATTAGGAACCCTCCAAAATAATAATAAATATTTTGGTTTACTTGTTTACGTACGAAAATACTTTACGAAAATCAGTTTACTTTTATAAAAAAGAAATCATAAAATATTTGTTTATTTATATTTATACATATAAAATTACTTAAATTACTGATATTTTACAGTTTACATAATACATTCTTATTAAATTGATTCAAATTGCCCTCGTCACCATTTACTTTTGCATCACCATCAGCTTGATCATTCATTGTTTGCGTTGTTGACAACAATTCCTCGTCACCTTTTACCGTCATATATTGATCATATTCAACCAATGTTTTATCTCCTTTTGGTTTACTAAACAATAAGGTTAACAGATTATATCGTAATTTTTCGCCAAAAGAAGGTTGTTGCTGACTTTGTTTCTGCAGTCCATCTTTTGCTTCATGATCAGCCGAATCTATTGCTTTATTACGTGATAAATGGGGATATGACTTTTCGTATTTATTGACGTGATTATGCCACCATTCTAATTTCGTCAAGCTATATGCTCTAGAAACTGCGATATCTTGCATAAATACTATGGTATTGAGAAAACCTAAAGAAAAAAATCATTAAATATTTAATAATAAATTGTT